GATGAACACAATGACGAGGAAGAGTCACGTTTCTTCCTCCGCTTCTGCTTCTCGGGAGGCTTAGATGCGTCGGGCGTGTGCCACATATGATGTCCTTGGACTCGTACTCTCCATGAAGACGCGCTTCTGTGTGGTTTCAGATCGCTGCTGGTGCCGCCGAATGAATGCGACGGCGGTCTGATCGGAGCGCATTGTTTCCACCGTGCGTTACATTATGGGATTTCCAGCCGTGATGTCTGCAATAATATGCTCTTTGTTCCCGGGTAAGTCACTTTTCTTTGTAAAAAATAAATAAACAAATAAAAATAAAAAGGCAGTTCTCAGACTCATGCGCTAAATAACTCATTTTTTTTATTATTGTTAAATCTGTTCCATTCAGAATGATGTCAGACTATATTCATTTTGTTTATTCCCTCACTGTAAGCAAGCCTCCTCACGTTTTGACATGAAGATGCTATTTTAGGAAACTGGGATTTATATTTAAAAGCTTTTTAATGGTAAAATAAAGGTTGAGCTCAATTTTGTTTCTCTTTTTCCTCCCTGGAGGAAGATCTAAAGGAGATAAAAGTTCACCTGACCCCTCCCTTTAAAAGTGCTGCTCAGTTTTTATTGACCCTGCTTGCTTTGTGTTTGTATTGACACAATCTTCAGAGAAGGGCCTGCCGTGAATCCATTTTTTTGCCACTTTGAAACTTAAGTAAACAGTTGCGCTGATTAATCTACGTTTATAATATGCAATTTCGTATTTTCTTGGCATTTTTAGTCACTGTTTTCTTGTTGGAACTCACACTGAAAGCTTTGTTTGCCTTGCTGACACATTTATTTTTATTGCCTCTGCTTGTTAATGCTCCTCTTTATAGCTGTGACAGTACTCTGGAGGGTGCCCTAAAGGGGTCTGCAGGTTTGCAGCCTAAAAGGAGGATTGTTTAATTCCACTGTGACCCTCACAGTCTTGAAGTTTCCTTGCGACTGTGAGCCTAGAGGTTAAAATGACTTCCAGAAAGTGGTGTCACACTGCACTTCTCTCACCGCAGTCTTCACACCTGCAATGAAACAGAAGAAAACTCTCTTTTCCTCTTTGCCGGGTGGAACAGTCTTGGGATATCAATATAGAAAAAAAAAGTTACGAAATCCCCTAGTTGATTCTGTAGAGGTACTTTTAGTAGCTTGTCAGTGATAAAGTCCAATTCTTTTTGCTGACTGTGGTTTTCTGCTGTGAGGAGAAATCAAAAGATTTTACATTAGTTTTCTTGTCAGAAAGCCCCCCCCCCCAAAAAAAAAATCTCTCTAATGTACAGATGGTATTTGCTCATGTTTAACAGTTTTTGTTGAAGCCTGTAAATGCTGAAGAGTTGATTTTTAGCWAATATTGTTCAGATAGTGGTTCAGATACCACGTACAATGTTTTAGACAACTTARGCCAACTTATGCAAATTTTGAGAATATTTACGATGAATATATTTTTTTCAAAAATCAACTGAAAGCCTCGTTTAGGGATGTACATGCTGTAATGCTGACAAATTGATCAAATATGCAACTTTTATTAGTAATTTAGTCAAATTATTTTATTTATTTATTTATTTTTCAATGAGTTGGCATAAGTTGTTTAAAACATTATAGAGTGACAGGTCCTTTAGCCACAGTCACTTAAACAGGCATGTTTGGCATTGTGTATATATCAGTGGTTCCTAAAGTTTGGGTCAAGAGCCCTCTATGGGTCATAAAACATCAAGAGAGCATCCCCAGATGATCAATTTAAATGCAATTAAATTGCTGAAGGCTTATTTACACCATAATTATTGCCAAAAATATAATTATCATAAACGATTAAAGTGGTGTCATAGTTATTTGATTTATTTAAATTGTTATTACACCCATGTTTACCAGKGTTATTAACAAAGTTTGCATATGTAACAGTAATATGTGGGGTCAGAAGTTCCTGCAACTGTTATTATGTGGTCTAGAAGCTAAAAAGTTTGAAAAACACTGGTATATATTATAGACTGCTCGTCCTCACCTTCTCTCATTCTTGGGTGTTGAGCAGGAACAGGTTTACAGGAGCTTCCAGGTTGTATTTTTGGWACCAGAGTCGGAGCACTAGAATTGTGGGGCTTTAAAGTCTCACTCTTACCCAATCATGGTGTCTGTTTTATTTCACCAAAGTTAATATTCCATTCATTTATGTGAAAATAGCATTTCTTAAAATGAGCCTACAGGGAAGTTGGCCTCATTCTGAGTCTGGGTCTTCGTTGGAYGTCTAGATACACTCTGTGGGTCAGAGTAATGGTGGTACATTGACAAATATATCATTACCATGCAATTTTTTTGTTTTTATGTGCTATTTTTTGCAGTTCTTTGCATTAGTCATATCACAATAGCAATAAATACATAACTGAACATGTATTAACTGATACATGTATATCTGGTTAAGGGTCAGTGCTCAGATGGTCATCAGATCCCAGTTTAAAGGCACAGATTCTGCTCTAAAGTCTGCATCACAATGTGCATTTAAGACTTGGGGCTTTATCCTTTTGTACTTCATGTTATGAAGCTGTAAATATGTAGGTTATTGTGACAGAAGGATCTTGATGATAAAAATGTAGCTAGTTACTTTACAGCAAGTTGAAACTATTGCAAAATTCAAATGTGCAGAAGGAATTATCTTTTGAAAAAAAWTTTTTTGTCAATTTTCAACAATGCCTGTGCCACAAAGAAAATAAGAGTTGCTGCCATGGTGCAGCATGTTTACTTCTTTTTGTCAACAATTGGATTATTGTGATTTATTCAGCTGAAAATGATAACCATCTGTGTTTTCAAAAAGTTTCATCCAAGTCTTTATCAAAATGAAAGTTTTTTCCCAAAGTTGTAGTGTTGATTTAAGATCAGTTCCATGACTATGAGTAAAATGAGGCTCAGATCTTATTATAGTATAATCAATAGTCCTTATTGTTTCTTTTTATTTGACTTTGGCCGGAGGCATCCTTAAATTAATATCTGCAGGAGATATAATATCCACTGTTCACATTACGGATAAGTAGCACAATTAATTGCCACAGAGAGTTCCGTAACTCCCTTCGGTAACTCGGCCCAGGCGAAGTAAGAAACAGAACAAGGTCAACTGAAGTAAGTTTCTCGCAGAAACATTGCAGTCGGGGGTTCAGCCAGGTAAAGACGGGTGATTGATTGCTCTGTGCCTGTCTTTGTGCTAGGATTAAATAATTCTGAATGAGTGAATTTTAAATTGACTGTCCAAGATGTGATAACACAGTGCAAGTCAGTGGACGGAAATGTAATTGGAAAGTATGAGCCGCTTTTAGAGGAGATCCAAGCCTCTCGCACGGCAGAGTCTTCTGTTCACTTAAGGCTCTAACAAATTGGCACTGTGAGTGATAGTGGCAATACAATAGGGTCTGAATGTCAGTGCATGTGCTGTTTTCGTGTGCAACTATATAACAGCGAGAAGATGATTGTGTCTTTGTGGGTACGCGTGCTAGCCTTAGATGTAGATAAAGAGAGCAGTGGCTCCGAACAGAAACTCTGTCCCCATTCTATATTTAGCATGTCTGCCGGGGTAGGCAGAGGATCTCTGAAATGTGAAGATGACAGGAGCCTCCTGAGCCAGAGGTTATGAAGTGACATCTTGATGTGCTTGTGCCTGAATCACACTCCCACACAGAGCCAGCCGGAGACTTCTGACATTCCAACATGGAGAAATTTCGATTCTTGACATCTAGTTAACATGCGTTGAGGCTTGCTTTTGATCTTTTTCCTGACTTACATTATTCTATATCATTATTGTTTTGGCATTCCCTATTTCTATTCTCTTTTGAAAATATTTTATTTAGCTGGAAAGTGAAATTTGGCAGCTTTGCTTTATRATATTTGGATGCTTCTGAAATGCATGTATGGAGCCATGTGCAGGGAGTTACCCTTTAAACTGCACTTGTGTGAGCAAGAATATTTAGGATACACTCAGTTTCACTTGCAGGAGTAATTAATGTTACATTTAGGTAACATGACAAAACATATTATATGCTCTTGTGTTTAAATTAGAGAAAACATAGCTAAAGATAAACCCACAGGATATCTTTAAAAATGGGGTTGTACGGAAGAATTAATGTCGTACCTGTTCTAGATAACTCTTTAACAGTCTCATAATTGAAAATTCTGATTAAACTAGTGAGCTAAGTGGGAATCTAAGGTTATGTTCACACTGCAGGTCTTAAAGCTCAATTCCAGTTTAATCCAATATGAATCACAGGGGCAAAAAAATCAGATTTGGGTTGCTGCTGTGTAAATGTAGTCTATGCGGGATCAAGACTAAAGTGAAATAAAAGTTATATTGTTTTATGTTTGCAATTTTTTTTAAACCTTTATACCACTGTCAGTTTTTCTCGTGCTTCATGCTGTTATGACAAAACATATTGTATTTCCGCTGCACTAAGCTCCAGACACAACATCCTTTCATCCATCGGCATCAKCCACATGTCCTTCACTTGGTTTCAGTCATATCTCTCTGGGTGTACTCAGTTCATCCAACTTAAATCATTTAGATCCCAGTCCTCCTCCGTGACCAGGTGTGCCCCAAGGCTCTGTCCTGGGGCCCTTTCTTTTCATCATCTACTTATTCTCCTTGGCAACATCTTCCATAAATATAACATTCACTTTCTTATCCACTGCACCTAATTCTTCGCTTCCACTTTCCTGCCTTACTTAGCTGAAATAAAATTCTGGTTTATATCAAATATCTTTAAATCAAACAGTGGTAAAACAGAGTTTCTACTTATTGGCAATAACATCACCATATCCAGAATCAACAGTTGTTTACTCACCATCAACAGTTTCTTGGATCCTCCCTCCCCTCAGGTAAAGAGTCTGGGTGTCATTCTTGACAGCACTCTCTCTTTTCACWCTCACATCAATAATATTCCCCAATCTGCATGCTTCCACCTTTGGAATATCAACCAACTCTGTATATCCCGCGTCTCTCACTCTGCTCTATCCTAGTTCATAGTCTGGTCATTTCTCAAATTGATAATTGCAATGCTCTCCTCTATGGTCTGCCTCACAAATCACTCTTAAAGCTTCATTTACTGTATTATTATTATTAATATTACAGCCAACTGCCACCCCCCATTTTGTACTAGCAAAAAGCATAGTATGGTTTTATTTAAATACTGTGTAATTTTGGCAATTAAATGGTTATAAAAACACAATTGCATGAACAAATACTAAAAGTTTTCAATTTGAATTTGCTTTAGAA